ATTTAATATAATTAAATGGAATAACATTAATAATAATAACAATAATAATAACGAAGAAAATAATTATAACAATAATAAATAATAATAACAACAAACGCCGTGCCGTGCCTTAACGCGGGTAGGACCATTTTCTTGTTTAGAAGTACTTCCAGGAGGCACTCCCGTGTCGCTGACTGGCGCTGAAACAACCACAAAAATAATAATAATAACGTTAATAATAATAATAATAATCATTCTGCTTTTTTGACGCCACAGTTTACGTCATGAAATCGTCAAAATTTAAAAAAAGCAAAAAAAAAACTCATACACAAAATCAACAGACAAGCGAGCTGGTGAAAAGGTAATGGTGATGATTTAATGACGAAAGAGCTCTGACGTCTTAAAGACAGAATGTAGGAAAAGTTAAATTACGCCGCTGATGACGTCACTGATGGTGTTGTAATCGTTATAATTGATGGTGTCATAGTTGATGAGTTAAATAGGGCAGTGACGTGGATGATGATGGTGGTGACGAAGGCAAAAAAATTATGACGATAAGGATGTGATTATGACGTAATTAAGCAGGAGCAAACTATCAACCAGTTGGACGATGAAGAAACGATCAACTAAATGACTAAATGAACGAGTGAACGTACGAACAGATGAGCAACTGAATGAATGAATGAATGAATGAATAAATGAATGAATGAAAAAAACAAAACTGTGACGAAGATGATGAAAATGATACTGCAAAACTATATAAATATTTACAACAGCATAAAAAATAATTGATATCGACAACAATAATAAAATGATAACGTTATAACAGTAACAATATGATAACATGACGGCATGTCGTAATATAGACAAATAAACGAATGAACGAACGAACAAACAAACTAACGAACGAGCGAACGAACAAGTGAACGAACAAACGAACGAATGACAAATGACACGACCCACCTTGAGAATGTCATAAGCAATCTGGCAGCCAGCCGGAAACTCATCTTCAACCGAGAGTAACAACAGTGCCTACAAATTTAATTAATTAAAAATATTATTAATTAGTTAATTAAAATATTAACCAGTTAAAAATATAACTAATTAACTAATCAATAAATCAATTAATTAATTAATCAATCAGTTTATTAATTAAAATTTATAAAGAAATCTTATAATAACTGTTGAACATAAATAACAACTTAATTATTAATCATTTAAACAACTAATTAGATGTTAATATCATCCCATACAATTTGTAATTAAAATAATTTTACGGAAACGAGACGTGAATGAATGAAGGAATGAACAAAAAAAAAAAACAAAGAAACAAAAGAATGAATGAATAAATAAAATATTAAAAAGTAAAGGCAAAATGAATGAATGAATGAATAAATAAATAAATAAATGAATGAATGAGGACGTACGACGGGTTTGCAGTGAGGTATGACGTGGTACTGGAGCAGTTGCTGCAGTGTGGAGTAGTTCTTCATCCTGATCAACCTCGTTAACAACATGTCGTTCATTTCATGCTGCATGGATGGATGGATAGACGGATGGACGGATGGATGGAGGGATGGATGGACGGATAGATGGAGGGATGGATGGACGAATGGATGGAGGGATGGATGGACGAATGGATGGAGGGATGGATGGAAGAATAGATGGAGAGATAGATGGATGATTGGTTAAATGAATGAATGAAAGAATGATCGATTGATTGACTAAATGAATTATTGTATAAACATGCCAAGGAAAAAGGAAAAATGAGTGGATGGACTGAATGAATGAATGATTGATGAATGAATGAATGAATGGACAGATGGATGGATAGATGAATGGATGAAGGATAGAATTAAGGAGTGAGCGATAACGATAAGGATAACGCACTTCAACCCTGATGTGGTGATGTGATAGAGATGACACGTACTCCACCAACAGCCAATCAAGCACTTTGTCGCATACCTTCTGATATCAAGACGAACGAATGAACGAAGAAATCATTGAATGAAGAAATGAATGATAGCAAACAAATATAATATTTAATTATTTAATAAACTAATTAATTATTTAATCATCAATCAACCAACCAGCATAAACAAACAACCTATAATTCAATAAATATATTAATTAATTAATTAACCAATCAATCAATCAATCAAAAAAACAAACAATCAACACAAATTCTTTTAATTAATTAACACACCAACAAACCATTCATCTAGCCAACCAGCCAGGCCTAATCAGCCAGTCAGACTACTAACCAACCAACCAACCAATCAACCAACCAACCAACCAACCAACTATTCAATTAACCAACCAGCCAGCCAGCCAGTCAGTCAGCCAACCAACCACCGACCAACCATCCATCCAACCAACCAACCAACCAACCGGCAGATCAACATACCAGTAAATCAACCAACTAATCAATCATTCACGATACACCAATGGAAATAAATAACTGATAAAAACAACAATAGCATAACATAACATAATGACACAAAAAGGTCGTCAGCCAGACATTATGACCAAAAAAAGGAACCACAAATCTTAAAAAAATTCTCCCCGAGTCGAAAAAATTGGTTGTTTAAGTATATATGCTGCCTTTCAAAATTAAAATAATTCTCAATGAGGTTCTCACGACAAAAAGTTTGCCCACCCCTGGTATAATATAATAATATATAATAAAATAATAATAATAAAACAAGACAATAACATAACAGCAGCAGAAACAACTAACTACCCCGTTATCATTAAGAGGCTTCAACAAATTATAGAACACATTTTTCTGTGTGATCAACTGCCTCTTGGGAACCTGTCACATATTTGTTCATTCAGTTTAATAAATCATACAAAAGATGGCAGTGTAGTGGTTAAGGTGCCTGCTTCTGATGATGCAGAGGCGAGATTCGATTGCAAGAGATATCCTAAGATGGCGCTTGTTTCAATTAATAAAAAATTTCTATAATTAAAATTGAATATAATTATGATGAATATTAAGATAGTCGGGCTCGATAAATTTTTTAAAACTTATATAGGTCAACCTTGTAGCATTTTCTGTTTTTTTTTATATTTTTTATAAATGAAATCTCAATTCGTTTTATTATTTATCAAATAATTATTATATTTCTAAACTAAAATGGGAAATAGGTACCTCATCATCGTCCTTATCTTTTAAAGTAAGGATGCTGTTGAACTTGAGGAATATGATTGACATGAACTTCAAGTCAACCATCGACGATTCTGATTGGCTCTCGATAATCTCCTGACACAGTTTCAAGATCAGTGATTTGCTGTCACTTCTCAGTAGTAACATCTCAATCGAGTCAACCTAGTTTCGACAGCAATGATAGTTAATGCTTAATATCATCATAACCACCATCACAACCATCGCTAGTGTCACCATCATCATCGTCATCATCACCATCATCGTCAGCATCCCTATCATCACCACCCTAGCTGTAACTAACAACATTATCATTTTCAACATAGTCACAAAACATCGCGGTCGTCATCATTATCATTACCATCATCATTATCACCACCCTCTACATAACCAACATTCATGACGTCAGCAGAGCATCACTTACGTCATCATCGAAAAAAGAAACAAGGTTTTCCACATCCAAATGAAGATTCCAGTAACATCCTGATGACAATAGCATAACAAAACGTAATATAACATAACACAACCCAACCCAACATAACATAACATAACATGACATAATATAAGAGACCACAATAGAATATGACACAAAAAAATTGTGGAATTAGCTTAGCTAGAAAGAGTGTCAGGCGTCACGTTGTTTGCAGCCATTGAGCGGTCAGCTGGTTCGAATACAGTCTGTTCTTGTTTTAAGCACTCAAAAAATATCATACCCAACCTTGCGCGCACATAAAAATACGTAGGCATGTCGTGTGGTGTCGTCATGTCGTGAGGTGTCGTGTGGTCTGGTGTAGACGCTACAGTCTTTGTGGCACTCAAATGTTTAGCGGCTCAAAAAAAACAACAGTAAATAAACAACTTTACGCTTGTCTGAACAGCGTAATCGAAAAGAAAACTAACACAGAAAGAGCACAACATTACAATACATTACAACACAACACACATGCATGTAAACATTCATACAATTTCATTTAAGAATGGGCAAGTAGTTAGTTCATGCAACAACCACCCATGACAATTGTGTTTAATAATAACTATAATAATAACAATAATTATAATAATTATTATTATTATAAAAATAGTGACCCACCAAGCTTGGCATCCAGCACAACATCAGGACCAAAAATAGCCCAGTGTGGAGAATCTGTGGTGAACATGTGACGTGACAAGTGATGGTCACGATATAACGTTACGGGATGTAATGATTACGTAATTATGAATTAATTAAAAATATGATAATGAGATGTCACGTGATGATATCGGTAGTGGTGATGACGTAGCGATGACGTGTAAGTTGGAGAAACGGTAAAAGACATTGACACAAGCGCAAATAGAGAAAAACGCAAACATACATAATTCACACTGCAACTCATTTGATGCTGCTGACGTGGACCCTGAAAGTAATAATAATAAAAATAACAACAACAACAACAACAACAATAATAATAATAATAATAATAATAATAATAATAATAATATGAACATATTTTATTTATTCAATCGACAAAATAAAATTCAAAATAATAATAATAATAATAATGATAATAACAATAATAATAATAAGACTTTTTTGTTAAGTTTAAAAATATCTATAAACATATACAAAATGGAAATAATCCACGATGATACTCGTCATACAACTGAGGCGAGCACTTCCAGAAATAAAATCTTTTCGATGAAAGTAAAATTGCGAAATTAATAATATAATAATAAATAATAAAAAATAATAAAAATTGAGTCAGAAGCCTGGATAATAATAATGATAAATTAAGAATAATTCTTATGTAATTTCATCGTTAGTATTAATAATAATATTATAAAATATAATAACATTATTAATAATATTGTTATTATTATTATTATTATTGCTATTATAGCTTTATGCTAACTACGGTCTTTGAGTGTGAATGGTCGAATGGGATGGCACGCAATTGGTTGAAAGTATTTGACCCCCCCTCTCATCACGTGACTACTGACCAATCCGATATCAAAGATGTAAGATGTCTGTCACGATGCAATTCATTTGAAATGTTTAAACACATCGTCGCCAGGAGTAACGGAAGTGTCCACATGCAATGTTCACAGCCGCAAAAACATTAACAGCCGTAAAGCAACATCACTATATCAAAAAAAACCAACAACAACATCAACAACCACATTAACAACAACAACAACATCGACAAAAAAATCAACAACAACAACATCAACATAAACAAAAAAATCATCATTATCAACAACAACAATAAAAACATCGTTAAAAACATCATCAACAAAAACATCATCAACATCAACAAAAACATCATCAACATCAACTAAAACAACAGCAAAAACAACAACAACATCAACAACAGCATCAACAATAGTATCAACAACAGCATCAACAACAACAGCATCATCAACAACAGCATCATCAACAACAACAACCTTGGACCACTGATGGTGGAGGACGATGAGATTGTCGACAACATGCAACACCAGCTTTCCACCCAACGTTAACGACAGCGTCAATACTTCGGTTGCTTTCATTATTCCTTCTCTGCTCGTTCATTCATTCATTCATTCATTTTCATTCATTCATTCATTCATTTTCATTCATTCATTTTGACTACATGTTGTTAATGATGAATTATCAAAAATACATCCGCATAAACCAGAAAACAACGTCATAAAACAACAAGATAAACAACATCATCCTATAAGATAACTGCAACAACAACAAAATTGTTCTCACAATCAAGAACAACAACACCAGCAACAAAAACATCAACAACAACACCAGCAACAACAACAATAGACCAGCACAGCAACAGATAGAAACAAGCAATGTAGTTGTAACCCCAGTAGGACAAACAAACCTCTTAACTTTGTAGAGGTACACGCTGAGCGATTGACTGGCTCCCCTATCGTTAAAGATGTGACTTACATACACTTGCCCATATCTGAATGTTGTTGTTAGCTTTATTATCATCATTATTATTATCATTATTATTATCGTTGTTGTTATTAATATTATTATTATTGTTGTTGTTGTTGTTGCTATTAGTTTTGCTGTTGTTATTGAAGATGATGACGACGACAGAGTCGTTACAACAGTAACGAAAAACAAACTATATTCATCATCAATACTCTCATCATCATCATCATCCTCATCATAATCGTCATCACCATCATCATCATCATCAATACTAATCATCATCAATACTCGTCATCATCACCACCACCGCCATCACCGTCATCATCATCATCACCAATACTCATCATCATCATTAATACTCATATCAACACCATCATCATCATCACCATTATCATCATCAACAACAATAACATCATAATCAAGACCAGCAGCAAACAGCATGCAGCAACAACAACAACAACATTTAACTAAAAACAGTTTTGAAGAACGCAAACTGCAACAAATCAAACCAACAAAACGAACACTGTAATTAGAACGATGTCCTTCTGTTTGAGCATCTGGGGAGGTGAGGTGTGCAATGGTACCTCAAATTTCGGCAGCTTTGTCAACGTACTGTCCTGCAAAGTTCACAGTATTTCATCTCCTTTTAATTCTTAACTAATTAATTAACTGCTAATTAACATAATTAATTATTCATTTAACATAAAATCATTAACATATTTAATTAATTATGTTAATGATGACTGCGAATTTTGCTCCCAAATTAAGTAAACCAAATAAACCTTGAATATGAATGAGTAGAATATGTTGGCGTAAGTTCCAGTTGATAAGATGCAGAGGTTCTTAGAGGACTGCGGATGTTATATCATGTCGTTATCATTTCGTTATCATCGTTAATGCTATTTATATCAGGTTCATTTTGTTATCATCACATTACCATCAGCATCAACAACATATAATGTTTAACAACAACAACATCAGCAGCAACAACAACAACACCAGCATCTACAATAACTATAACAACAACATCATCAACAACAACAACAGCAACAACACCAGCATCAACAATAACTACAACAACAACACCACCACTACCAACAAAAACAACAACTAACAGTCCAATAATGCCAGTGGGTTTCCATGGAAACATTCTTCAACAACTTTAATGACAACTTGTCGGGAAAGACCTAAATCATCATCATCATCATCATCATCATCATCATAATCAATCATCATCATCAATAATAATATCATCATCATAGTCTTCATCATCATCAACATTATTACGTTCATCAACACACCATCTTTTTTAATAAAACCAATTGCAACCAACTACAACAATATCGTTATAATCATCATTATCATCATCTCTCTCAACCATAATAATAATAATAATTATTATTATTATTATTATCCTCACTTCCAACCATCATCCCCATCATCATCACCAACGTCGTAATTATCATTACCATCATCATCATCACTCCCAACCATCATCACCATCATCATCACTAGCATCATCATCATCATTGGCATCATCATCATCATCGGCATCATCATCATCATTAGCATCATCATAATCACCATCATCACCACCACCATCACGTGACAACCTGATAATGTTCAATTCCTCTATCGGTGACGATGATGATCTCGTCATCGTGGCACCAACACGTCCCCAGGATCCTGCTGTTCTTCAGCTATTTATTTACGTCGGTCATTCTTTCAACATGTCATCATCATCATCACCACCATCATTATCGTTATCAGCATCATTATCATTATTATTATTACAATTATCATTATTATTATTATTATTATTATTATTATTACAATTATTATTATTATCATTATTATTATTATTATTATTATTATTATTATTATTATTACAATTATTATCATTTAATGATAAATTGATAAACACTGTTATAAGATTATCGTATGACATTTACTGTGACAGGAGCAAGCTATGATGCTAATTAAATATATTTCACCGTTCTGCACTTAACTTCACAATGAGCAAAATGGTCTTAACCTTTAATATTATTTTATAAAATTTTTACAAATTTTATCATTGCGCATTATTTAATTAACATTAACTTATATATATATATATCTATTTGTCCTGGTTATGACATTAAACTGACCCTCACTGCCTTGTGAGTGATGTTGGATCATCAAAGGCTAGGCCCACCGCTTATAACTGTGGTTGCGTAAGGAAGGGCGTCCTGCGTAAAAACTAGCCAAAAAATAATACTTATGATGACGGAAATAACAATGGCCCTCAGTATCCGGTAGAAGAGGGTGCGAAGGATCTCCGGAGACCCAGTCCATGGGGTTGTGGTGCAAGGCCCTGTGGATGGTCTGGCTACTGGCACCCCACTCAATAGTGTGGCGGTGCAAGGCACTATAGATGGAAGGACTACTTGTAGACCAAGGGGTTGGAGGTTTGGTACCTGGAATGTAGGCACGTTGACAGGAAGAAGTTTGGAAGTGGTGGAGGAGATGCAGAGGAGAATGGTTGACGTGACTGCATTACAGGAGATCAGATGGAAGGGTGAGGGTACAAGGTTTGTGGGGGCTAAAGGTGGAAAATATAAGTTGTGGTGGAAGGGGGATGATGGTACGGGAGGAGTTGGTGTGATGGTAAGAGAAGAGTTGGTGGAGAAGGTGTTGGAAGTGAGGCGGAGAAGCAATGGTGTAATTGTGGTGGTGATGGTGTTTGGAAAAGTAATAGTGAGGGTGATATCAGGATATGCTCCGCAACAAAGTAGGAAGGAAGAGGAGAAGGATAGGTTTTATGATGATGTTTCTGACGAGATTGGGCAAGCGGGGTTGGACGAGTTTGTGGTGTTGTTGGGTGATTTGAATGGTCATGTGGGGGCGGATGCAGACGGATATGAAAGTGTACATGGGGGATGGGAATATGGTATACGGAATGAGGAAGGGCGTAGAGTGTTGGAGTTGGCAGATGCACATAGCATGGTGGTTGGGAATACCTGGTTTACAAGGGAACCAGCGCGATTGATTACATATAGGTCAGGGGAGCATAGGTCGATGATAGACTATATATTGGTAAGGGCCAAACATAGGAAGTATGTGAAGAATGTGAAGGCAATACCTGGTATGCTGCAGCATAGTATGGTTGTGATGGATGTGACATCAAAAGAAATGGGGAGGAGGAAGAAGGATAAGTTTGTGGCAAAGAGAAAAACATGGAAGTTGCAGGATGCAAAGGTGAGGAAGGCATTTGAAGTGAAGGTGGCTGAAAATTGGGAGAGTGGTAAGGATGGAGATGTTTGGGAGAGATACAGGGACTGTGTGTTGGCTACGGCAGATAAAGTATGTGGATGGACAAAAGTGTAGGCATGGTGAGACGTGGTGGTTAGATGAAGATATAAAAAGAGTTTTGGAGGTCAAGAAGGAAAGGTTTATGGTATGGAGAAGGGACATGACAGAGGAAGCGAAGTTTGAGTATAGGAAGGCTAAAAAGGTTGCAAAACAGGCAGTGGCAACTGCAATGACGAAAGCATCAGATAGGTTAATGAAAGAAATGGAATTTGAAGTGAGTTCGAGGAAAATGTTCAAAGTAGCAGAGCAGTCAATGAGGGATAGGAAAGATGTTATAGGGAATGGATGTGTTTGGGATGGATCTGGCAAGTTGTGCATAGATGAGGAGGAAAAAGCTCAGGTGTGGAAAGCTCATATGGAAAGGTTGATGAATGAAGAGAATGAGTGGGATGGAGATGTGGAATCCGCGGTCACACACGGACCTATAGAGAAGGTGACGATGGAGGAAGTAGAGAAAGCAGTTAGAGAAATGAAACTAGGTAAGGCGACAGGGGTTTCGGAAGTGGCGCCAGAACATATAAAAGCGAGTGGGGTGATAGGAATTGAAGTTATGATGAGAATTGCTAACAGTATGTTTGATGATGAAGGTA